ATGTCCATTGCCGTCATCAGAGAAATCATGCAGTACAAAAGCCTTATAAATGCAGTGACTGTGGAAAAACTTTCACCGAAAACAAAGCTCTCCAAAATCATCAGAGAATTCACACGGGAGAAAAGCCTTTTACATGCAGTGAATGTGGGAAATCTTTTACCTGGAAGAGTGTCCTTCGCCAACATCAGAGTGTTCATACAGGAGAAAAACCTTATAAATGCAGTGACTGTGGGAAATCTTATACCAGGATCACCAGGCTTCACAGTCATCAGAGAGTTCATACAGGAGAAAGTCGTTAATTAATGTGAGATATCTCTCAGCCTAATTTGTAAATTTGCTCTGCACAAAAGAGTCCGAATGTGAAAAGTTTCTCAGATGTTTTGAAAATGTAGTTTCTTAGTTAGGATTTAACAATTGTATAAGAAAATAGATGCAGTCTCATTAGTCAGAATTTATCTCATACTTTGAATCACCTACATTATGTAACGTACCCGCAACTATTTTTGCTCTTCTCTTTGCTTGTTTGTATGTTGGAACCATACGTATTTATGTTGGAATTTTTAAGATAAAGAGCTGTCTTGCCAGGTGGAAGAACTGCCAGTCTCACGGCTCTTTCCTTGCAAAATAATGAAGGCTTTTCCTTAAGACTTCTTTGACTCTATGGGTTAGTTTATATGGAGATCTGGCCTCTCCAAGCATCATGCGGTGAAAAACTTATATGGGCTCTGAAACATTTTTGCCCTTGGGGGAAGAGTATGGACCAGATATTAGCTGAGTAGTTTTTGCCAAATTTACAGTGGCAACATAGGAACTGCAGAACTGGCGGATTTAGAAGGATCATGCAGGTTCTCCCCTTCTCTCTCTCTCCCTCCATACACTGTCCCCCGCCTAGTATGGGATGGACTGAAGGGGTTGAAGGACAACAAAACCCCTCCCGTCAGTGGGTCCGGAGGGAATACAATTGGCATCGGGGGAGGCAGGGGCTCTGGATCAAGAGCTGGTGGCGTGGCCTGGGCTTGAGGCCGGGACTCACCCAGATCCGGCGCCATGGGACCATAGGGGGTGCGGCTTGCTAATAGGTTCTTCCTGCTCTCCCTGAAGGTGGGAGAGAGTCTTTCCCTTCTGGGGCTCGGCCAAAAGAATTGTCTGTCTCTGTCCCAATTTTCCCCTCGGGAGGCAAGCCCTCATCTACCGGGGTTTCTTGGACAATATGTCAACCCAAACCTGAATATAAGGATCAGGATGCCCTGGGCGGCCGTATATGACATAATGGACCCGGCAGGCAGTGGTCAGATCAAAAGACCCTGCATCCGGCCACCCCTCCTGGAAAGTGGGCCACTCCCGTTCACAGAATCGCTGTAAATCAAAAGCATTAACATTATAACCTTTAAACCTTCCCCAGAACTTCAGTTTAATACTGTAAATTTACAATCTAGGTAAGAGCAACTGATAGATAGAAATCTTCATTAACTAAGTGGGCTGATTTCCCCTTAATAGTGAGCAAAAGACTCTGAGAAAAAAAAAAAATTCTCACAGCTGCAAGAGGCTTTGAAGACTATTAAGGGGCCAGCCCAAACGTTCAGCCAACCATATCAACAGAAAGTAGAATAAATCAAAGTAGCTCTTACTTTACTCAGACCAGTAATGATTTACACTTTCTTAATTGACTAGCCCAGGCTGGAGCTGTATCCAGTCTCCCTTCTCTGTAGTAATTTGGCTAGTCCTACACAAATAAACTTTGTCCCGACCCCATGATGATTGGTGGCGAGAGACAGACAAGAGAGGGGGTTACCTGTTTTTACAGATCCTCACTCAGATTCCAGCCTGTCCACATCCCTTTGGGAGCTTAGATTTGTCATAGCTAAGGTGCATCTGTATAAACCCCGGGCCTGGTCACCTCCACTTGGAGGTGAGTCACCGTTATGCCATATGACGAATCGCAGAACCGCAGGTTGGGGCCCACTCAGCCTCTGTTACCGAAGTCGTGGAGACACATAAAGGAGAGGAGAGGGCAGGCCCCCTCCCTCCACACTCACACACTTTCACCAGACATTCACTCAGAGGTTAAATAATCCACCCAATTCCTAACAATTTTCCAATTCCTGAGGGAGCTCTTTAGCTTCCCGGGAGGTGATCAAGCTCCCCTTCCACTCACCTGGAGTGGGCCTGACTGATAGGGGGTTTACAAAGATGACTGACCTTATCCCATTCAACAAAGACAAAGACAACAAAGAATAGAGACAAAACAAATCGGCCAAATGCAACCTAAGGTTGCCTGGAACCTGCACCTCGCTCCTTGAAGTCCTGAAAATTTTTCAAAAAACATTGCAGCAGGGTGTACACAGAAGCAGACAAGTTTTTGACAATAAACACCAAGACAAACAAATACCAGACAGACAAACCCAGTGAGCCTACAGCCGCACAAACCAGGGACCCCGGCCACCGTCGTGGCCGCGGGTCAGGACCAGGAGTACCGCTGCGTCTATCCCTCCGTATAGGTCCTTCCGTGGGATGTCCCCATTCCTGTTTAACGACCAGTCTCTTACCGCTCTCCAGAGTCCAGGTGGCTTGGTTTCCGAATTGAAAGTTTTTGGGTGGACTGGAGGCCTCCTTGGTAGTCGTTCTCCACAGGTGTGGGGTATTTTGCTGAGTGCCCAGCGACAAGTGGGGGAGAGCCTCCTTCCTTGAATAGGGGGTCCCTCTCCTCCCTGCTGGGGGAGAGCCTCCTGCCCTAAACAAGGGGTCCCACTCCTCCCTGCCAGGTATCTCGCTGCGGGCCTCCAAATGTTATGGGTGAGCTCAGCGAGATAGACCACCGACTCAGAATTTAAATTTAAGAGCCTTTAT